AGTCTCACTCTGTTGCCCAATGCTAGAATGCCATGGCATCATAGCTCACAGCATCCTCAAACTCCTAAGCTCAAGCGATTCTCTTGTCTCAGCCTCCCATGTAGCTGGGAGGCCTAAACCATCACACCTGGCTAGTTTTTCTATTTTTAGTAGAGAGGGGGTGGTCTCAACTATTGTTCAGGCTAGTTTTGAACTCCTGAGCTCAAGCAATCTATCCACCTAGGCCTCTCAGAGTTCTAGAATTACAAGTATGAGCTACAGAACCCAGCTTCCCAAATTTCTTTGTAACTTATTTTCCATTAGTGTTCTTTCCAAGTCCTTGACAACATAGACAATCCATGGGCCCATGGTCAATATGTGGACCCATGTCTGGCCATCTCCCTTCCTGTAAAGGGCACAACCGGGACCACTCTTTAAATTCTGGTCTCTGGGAAGATTTCCTTTCCCTGTCCCTCAGGGATGTCCCAGAATGAGGCTGTGGTGCTGCAGCTGTATGCTCTGATGTGAGGCCACAAATTGTGCAGAACTATCTGCAAACCAGGGCTTAGTTTTGTCTCCTCTGTCAGCTGACCATAGGGTGCCCCTCTTGAGGCTACAAATTCATGCTGGGATTGAGAAGACCATGTAGTGGGAGTATAAACCATGGGCATTTGGGCCGCTTTTATATGTATCATACTTATGTTTGTGTGTGCTAGATTATGTCAGGTGAGCCACCTCCAAATGATGATGGAGAACTGCTGTATGCACACAACTTTACGGCTTGGTGAGGCAGAGAATACCCTCTCTATGATAGGCCGCTTGGGTCTCAGGGTAACTTGGTACCCATGGTCAAGTAGTGTGTTTCTACTAAAGCCTAGTGGCAAACTGAGAGTTGTGGCTCAAAAAGACAATAGTTATCTGTGGATGATGGGAAGGCCTTGCTCCTGGCCTGGGAGAAAGACTGGCAAGATAAAATGTCAGGAAAAAAAAAAAAATGTCAGTACTACACTAGGGTCCTTCCTCAAAGAGACTTGGCCTTCCCTTCATTCAAGAGGTTCTGGCTAGAGAATCAGGAAAGCCAGCAGCATGGCTTAGCACAAGTCTGCAGGCTGCAGAGTAAGAGAAGTCAAAGGTGTAGAGCCTGGGGCTATGTCTAAGGGCAGGAAAAGAAGAGTGCCCTAGCTCCAGGAGGGAGAGTAGGGGAAGGCTCTTTCCCCTGCCTTTTTGCTCTATCTAGGCCTCCACCTGTTTAGATGATGCCCACCCAGCTTGACTTCATATTTTTCCCATTGAATTCATTGACTCACAGACACAATGAAAAAATATTGCTTCATCCATTACCTAAGTATCCTTTAATTTAGTCAAATTAGTACCTAAAATTATCATCACAGCATTGTTACATAAGTGTGTTACTTGTCTCTGTTGGACCTTCCTGCTGGGGGATAAGTCTGTGTTACTTGTCTCTGTTGGACCTTCCTGCTGGGGGATAAAGCTTTATCATGCCAATCAACAATAGCTATTATATGTATTTAATCATTTGCTCTTAAATGTATTGTTTGTTGATTTTATGATGTGCGCCATTCTCACTGGGGATAGGTGAGAACTCAATTAGTTCTGATTTGCGTTTCTCTAACAATTAGAGATAATGAAAATTTTTTCAGGAGTAGATTAGGCTTTGTCTTAATCAGAAAAGATTCAAGAAGAGGCAGGATCCTACAATACCCAGTATTTCTAGGTGGTCTCCTATCCAAGTCCTAACCAAGCCAGGCCCTGCTTATCTCCAAGATCAGATGAGACTGGGCATGCTCAGGGTTGGTGGAATTGCAAACTAGTACAATCTTTATGGAAGGAAGTATGGAGAGTCCTCAAAGAACTGAAAGTAAACCAAGAGCCCTCCAACACATGAATGGATTAATAAACTGTGGGTATACATACCACCAAATACTATTCACTCATAAAAGGGTGGAGATTCTGTATCCATTGTTACAAATTGGATGAAGTTGGAGACCACTTACCTAAGTATGAGAAGAAGGTTAAAACAAGCATCACATGTACTCAACACTAATTTAAAACTTGTAGATTAACAGAAGTAGGCTCACATCAGAAAAATACCTCAATTAAATACAAGAAATGGGAAAGAAGGGAGGGAAGTTGTAGGGTTCCTTCCCAGTGGGAACAAAGTATAGGTGTAAGGCACACTTCCAGGGCCATGGACACAACTACAGTTTAGACTTTACAAACAGAACCAATGTAACCTAATTGTATGTATCTCATATTAATCAGAAATTGAAAAAACTGATTGTTTGTTCTTTGTGACTAATTCTTACCAAACCTAGCATTTCATAATGATGAATTTGTTGCAATCATCTTCTGTACCACATAATTTGGGAATCATAATTTTATTATTTATAAAATAAATTCTTAAACTTTATTCACATTTTATGCTGCTTATAAGATTTCATTTCCCAGGAATTATAAGGCTTCTATTCTCATGCCCTCTCTAGGTCATACAAATAAATTTGTATGTCCCCCCAAACTTAGATAACAAGCTGCATTTAATTTCTTTGTTTACCTATTTACATTATAACATATGGTCACAATTATTGTATAGTTTCTGGAGTCTGACAATTAGAAGATCAGTTTAGAAATGCTGCATTTTTTTATTTAAATTACCACTTCAATTTTCTGTTTGCAAAACTTAATCAATATTTGTCACCACACATCTCAGCAACAAATATAGAGCTAATAATTTTTCCAAGTGGCTTAAATAGTCTGAGGATGCTTTGGAGGCTTACAGATGGTACATGGATATGTGCAGTATTTTCATAGCAGCATTAAAATCAGAAAATTAGAAAAAAAACATATAGTAAATGCCAATCAGTGTTCCAACCAAAAGACTAAGTTGAATCTAACGTTAGAAGTAAATGACCTCATTTCTGTTTCCAATGCCACACGTTACCTTTGACATGCATTTGATTTATTTTCAATAAAATGATATTTTTCTTTGTGTTTTCTTCTATAGATTACACATTTTCCCATCAATTCAACTAGCATGTACTCAATTATTCTTAAACCAACCATTTGTATTTACCTTCTTGACATAACATTATTTGTCTGTATCCTTTGAAATGAATTGATACATAATCTTTGGGTTTTTGTGTCCATTTAATGTTAAATTTGATAAGTAACTTCATTTAACCTGAGTACTAGTTTTTGTCTAATTACTGTTTACAAAATGTATAATCTCCCATTTTTTTTAGACACCAATGAAAAGGATGTGTATATTAGTTGTATATTGGCTTATGTTTAACAAGCAAATCCAAAATTGCATTTGCATAGTAAAATCAATCCATTTCTACATATTTACTGCCTTACTTCATATAAGACTCATCTACTGATCTTATTTTTATTTTATTCAAATCCATGTAGTTTCCAAATCTAGATACTGTCATTTTTTTTCCAACTTGTCGGAAAATGTCTTCTGAGTTAAAGAAAATTTTAAAAAATACTGAAAGAGTTGTTACATAAATGTATCAGACAACAATCAGGAAAATAAGGTAACTTTTATGATATCAAGCTCGATGACCTCTTTGTGACAGGCCATAATGTTGCTGAGTTCACATCTCAAATTATGTGGGCACCTGTTGTGCTTCTAACAGGTGTCCCTTCAGCAGTAAGGACACTGGCCAGGGGATCGTCCTCCTGAAACCTTTAAGTATGGCTATCTTTTTAACAAGCCCTGGCTTTATTCAGTTTCCTCCGGAGTTCTAATAAAGCCAGCTTTCCTACCTCCTCATTAATAATGCTTAGCTTTAAAATTATAATTGATTTTGTGTGCCCTTTATCACTAATTAAAGAAAGACTTCTATGAGCAGAAAATAAATCTATTTTGAAGAATATGTCGGCTTTATTCAGGGACCATCCACCTGCCTTCTTTGGAAGTCCACACTGATTAAAGTCTTTGTAGCACCTGAATGTGCATGCATGTGGCTTGTGTGTGTTTGTCAAATTTGGAGAGAAAGAGGGAGAGGAAGATGGCTTAGTCCATTAGGGCTGATATATAAAAAACAAATAGACTGGGAAATACAGAACACGGGAGCCAGCAGACTCACTGTCTGATGAGAACTTCTCTGCCTCAGAGATGACGTTCCTTTGTTCTGTCCTCCCGTGGCAGAAAGAGCAAGCGGTGCCCTCACACTTCCTTTATAAGGACCCCAATCCCATCCATGAGGGCTCCTTTTTCATGACTTAATCATCCCTAAAGGCTCTAATGGTTAATTATATCATATTGGCAATTAACTTTTAATATATAAATATTGGAGGAACATATTCAAAGAATAGAGAAGGAATTGGAAAATTTTGGAAAACAAATGAAAGGGGATGAAAGGAGAGTGGTAGCTGGAAATTCTCAGACACTGGAATTCCTGATAGCAAATTTTTGAACACTCTCGTATTTACTTTTTAAAGAATGTGTGTGTGTGTGTGTGTGTTTGTAAGAAGAGGTAGTGAAAAATAGCTGGGGAGTTAAATTTCTATTAAAACTATAGTCCTAAATAAATAAAAAAAATTATGATAATCCTACAACTTAATTTAAGCATCTTTCCAAGTGGAAATTCAATCTACTAAGAAAGTAAATAATTTAAAGCACATCATGTAACATTTAAAGTATTTTTGTAAATAATAAGTGGGAAAAATACTGCATAAGACAAAAACCCAATAGATAAAGTATTGCATATGGATATTAACATAAGATACTGTAACTTTGGTTTGTAAATATTTAATTCCTTTCTTCTCCTGATCAAGATATCATTAAAATAAGCCCTCATCCTGAGGACCCTGTGAGATGTAGAATGGTTATATAGGGTTTCATATTTGCTCCGTAATTTACTTTATCTTTAAATGGATAAAAATACCTGAGTGTTAACAAGTCTGTAACTTAACAAATATTATAATGAGACAATGTAATATTGAACTAAATTTTGAAAATAAATATTCTCTTTAGTTCAGATTTTTTAGCCAAATCACAGAAAGGAAGTTATCCTTTTCCTGGTAATTATATTCCGTAAAGCCTTCTTTACTTCTGTATTCCTGAGGCTGTAGATCAAAGGATTCAGCATGGGGATCACCACTGTGTAGAACACTGAAGCCACTTTGTCCCGATTCAGGGAATAGCTGGAACTAGGCCTCAGGTAAGTATAGATGGAGGTGGCATAGAACAGAATGATGGCTGTCAGGTGGGAGGCACACGTGGACAGAGCTCTGTGCTTCCCCTCCCCAGAATGCATCTGGAAGATGGAGATGAGAATGTAGGAATAGGAGGTGAGGATGATCAGCAGAGCCCCGACCATATTCACACCAGCAAACGTGGAAAAGACACTTTCTTCCAGGTGTGTATCAGAACATGAAAGTTTAAAAAGTGGGGGACTATCACAGAAGAAGTGATGGATGACATTGGAGCTGCAGAAGGGCAGGCTGCTGACATAGCTGGTGTTGACCATGGAGTTCAGCAGCCCTGCAGCAAAAGCCCCAGCTGCCATTTTAAGGCAGACAGTCCTGGACATGACCAAGGAGTAAAGCAGTGGGTTACAGATGGCCACATAGCGGTCATAGGCCATCAACCCAAAGAGGATGCATTCAGTGGTCGCCAGGGCAATAAAGAAGTACATCTGCAGGAAGCAGCCGGCAAAGGAGATGGTTCTCTTCTCTGACAGGAGATCTACCAGCATCTTTGGGGTGATGGTGGATGAATAGCAGATGTCCACAAAGGACAGGTTAGCTAGGAAGAAGTACATGGGTGTGTGAAGTCGGGAATCGGTCCTGATTAAAAGGATCATCCCAACATTCCCCAGAAGCGTAAGTGTGTAAATCATAAGAAAAAGCAAAAAGAAAATAATCTGTAGCTCCAGGGTGTCTGTTAGACCCAATAGGACGAACTCAGTCAGTGAGGTATAATTTTTTCTGGTCATTTATTACCAAGATATTTTACATAAAGTTTGAATGTGGCTTAAGTATGTCCCCCTTTGAAAATTTAGATAAAAATAGAAATATTGTTAAAGATAATGATAAATGGAAAAAATTTCAGGATCATATGGCATAGTAACTAGAATGAAGTGAAAAGAAATTACAAGACAAATAGGTGAGCATTTAAATTAAATAAACAATTCTCTGTATTGAATCTAGGTTTCATTTTTCCCAAATCTCTGATTTAAGCCCATATATTTTACATCAATTTCTCCAAATGCAAATACATTGTTCTATTTTTTTCTATATCAACCTACATCCCAAATGCAAGGAATTGAAATATCTTTCCTAAAGTTTCTCCCACTCTCTGGAAAGGTATATGGATTTCAATCAAATACATCTAAAACTAATGCTTCATACCCTTCAAAATAGCACTCAAGTAACTCCAAGAAGCAAGAATAGTCATCATTTCAAATAGCCAATATTTTGTCATCTAGCCTATCCTTAAACATAATTTTGTAATATTTTAAAAGTGAACCAAATAATCGTATACTAGTTACAAATATACTATTGAATTAATGCAATATGGTAGCAGTCAGTTACCTGTCCGTGGCAGTGAATAACAGTGACGAATGTTTCTAAATTCTTTCTAGATGAAGTCTTTCTTTCAATATAGTCTATGTGTATATATATATATACACACACACACACACATATATGTATATATATATAATTTTGTTTTTCTGGTCTGGAATTTTCACTTAGAAGCCAAATATCTAAAAAGAAAATCTATTTTCCAGATGCAATGGAAAGTTGAATTGTCTATTGGTAAAATTTTGAGACACTTTCTGATTAAATACATATTGGTGTCTTTTTGTATGTTTTCTTCAAGTGAATTGGATAGTCATTGGGACTAGATAACAGGTATTAATTGTGGAGTCAATCCTCTAAAGACCGGAGCTTAATTCTCCAAGGAAACTTGAATGCGATCATAGAATCAAGCATCTCGTGCAGCTTCTGTCAGGGTTTTCTGACCTCTATGTTATTTTAAAGTTAGAGAAAATATTTCAGTCATTTATTTACACAACCTTTCCCTCTGCGATTTTAGCTTATTTTAACTGGGTAAATAGTCGACTGCCCAATTATTATTCATCCATGTCCAAAGGCAAAATAACCAGAATTACAAATATCTTTAAAATCTAATTGGCTTTCATTTGCAGAATCAGGCAACACTGTATTCTCTAAAATAGAATGGCTGTTCCAATGAGCTGAGGAATGTGGGAGTATTGAGATGAAAGGACTAAGGTGATAAAAAACAGGGAACAAAAAGTACCTTCCATTTCAAAGTTATTTTCCTAATAGGGTTAAAAGAGATGTTACTTCCTTATTATGCTGACTCAAGTTGACCAGAATCTCCTGTTTCTCTGGAAAACCAAATTGTTTCAAAGTTTGATCCACTTATCACAGGCTGTCCACTCTGGCTTGGTCTGTTCAGCTGTGGCCTATTACAGGGGCCCTTAGAAAATGAGGGCGCTCATAAACCTTAACAGCCCCTCTGTCACTGTGCGTGTATACCTCCCTTTTTCTGTATCAATTTAACTTCCAATATACTTCTGTTCCTGATTGAAATTAATGAGTAGGGGAAACTAATTAATATCCATTGTATGATGTTTAAAGAAATATTATACCCTGAGCAAATATAACAATGAATAAGGAAATAATATTTCTTTTCACAATTGCAGAATGGTGTCAGCTTTTTAAGAAATAATTATTTGTGATTCTGACTGTATCAGCTGATGAAAATACAGATTATTCTAGATCTAAATTCACAAGCAAAACAAGATGAAATAAACCACATCTAGCGTCTTTATGTAGAAAATATGTTTGTATAAGGAATGCATAATATTTTGAGGAGTACAGTATGATTTTACATTTAAACCTTCAATACATTTTCTACACAGGTTTGTATGCTGACATTATGCGTTCCCCTATTCTCAAGATGAGGAAAGCAAGCCTTAAAGCTGTTAATGACTTTCCAATAGATAATGTGGAAGAATGAACTTATACATTTTTCAGCATAAACAATTAATACCAAGTTACCATATTCCTGTTTAGTTCCGCTTTAATTTAGTATAGTCACATATAATAATGTATGTTGGGGGTCAGAGATCCTGGTTTCCTGAACCTCATTGACCTGATTTGATTACTTAGCTGAATTAGAAAATTCAGCCAAGGCATAGTGGGAATTAAACACAAAAGTGTGTGGAAATCGAAAGTAAATCAGAACAGCACAAGCAATAGGCAGCGTGAACAGGATGTAAAAGTAAACTGCACAAGTGTCAGTATAACAAAAAGAAATTTATTTAAGAACAAAGAGAAAGCTTAGAGCACTTCCAAAGAGAGTCGGGAGTGGGTCTCTCTCATGAGGGAGAAGAGTTGAGAGAAACGAAGACGCAAAGCCAGTGCAGGGGTGTAAGTACCTTCTGCCTCTCCATTGGAAATTGATTGCAACTCTTCCTTTGGCCTCTCTGCACCTACAGACATTATTGCCCTTCTCTATTTGTCATTTATTATTATCCTTTTCTATTGGTCATTGGTTACCTAGGCTACCTCACCCCCATAGTCTTCTTCCCTTTTTTGGCAAGAGTTGCTGAGTGGTGAATGTTCCTATGGGTCCTCCAGACTCCCTTGCTCAGCAGGCCAGCATCTCCTTCCATTCCCCTAGAAGCCCCTTTCTTCATGTGTGTGTATATAAGCATACACATAATGTACTTGTGTGTGTGCATATCTTCCAGGGAACCCCATCCTACCATCTTCAGAGCAAGTTGAGTACATTAGAGGCTTCACCTTCCAAAAGAGCTGTTTCATTATGCAAGACAGTACTTGAAATCTTGGCTTGTTATTATCCCAACCAGCATGCCATTGACAACTACCTGCTACAAGTATCAGCAAGGTGGCAGTACCAGAGGTCCCAGGACTTTGTCATCCTCTCAGAAAGTCCAACTGGCAACTATCCTTAAACAAAAAAACACCTTTTGAAAATCTAAATATTCAGAGGTAAGGCTGAAACAGCCTGTTGGACCACAAACAATGAGAAAAGATGATTAAAAGGGTAGCAGGAATTGTTTTATTTTGACTACATCAGGCCTCCTCTGGGCTGGCATAGAACCACATGGAGAGGGTTTCCTAGGTTCTAAGATTTCACTGGTGTAAAATGAGAGCCTGAGATTAACATCTGGTTTCCCAGCACTTGTAAGGAAGCCCATTTTTTCTAACCTTGGGAGGTACACTGAGGGAAACATAGGACTAGACCATCTAGCAAGACAGAAGGGCCATCAGATCTTGGGGGTGACACAATGCTGTGCCAGCATCAGTCCCCCACCAGTGAAAGCAGCCAGTTGTTTGTGCACTGTGCACTAGCTAAGAAAAAGGGCTGCTCTGATTGGTTAGGGAGAATGGCTAACAATTCTGAGTTTCTTAGTCTCTGGCCAGCCATATTGCCCAGCTGTGAAGCCCAGCCTGAGGCTTTGCACTGATGGAAAAGAAAATTTGAGATCTGAAGGCAGAATGGGGACTGAAGACCCCATCTATGGCAAGGGAAAACACCTCCAGCAAAAGGGAAAAAACAGAAATAAGCTGAGCAAGGAGGAATAAAGCAGGTTAGCTACCACAGCCACTACACTTCTTATCTGATCTTCTTTTCCTAGAAGCTAACGTGTAGGGGATACAGTTTGCAAACACCCCTGCTGGGCCTTTGAACACTCTGAAGAAACAATGACTGCAGAGGAAGTTGCATGCAAAGCCTGAGTAGAAAGATCAACCAGGCCATCTCCTGCAGAGTCAACAGTCAAAGCAAATATCCATTGTGGAGATTTGTATTTGGCCAGGGCAGAGATAAAGCAAACAGCTCAAGCCCTGAAATATGGGCAGGAGGCCTTGTGAAACCCCTTTATTACAGAGGAAGATGCCACTGGGTGGAGATCAGAAGAAAATTCTTCTGTCCCACTGGAGACTGACTCCAGTAATGTTTTACTCCACAGTGAACTAGTGGGGGTTAACCTCCTCCAAGGAATCTGTGTGTGCGACCACAGACAGGAGGCTGCTCCCACACAAGGCTCAGGTTCTAGAGTTTTCAAGGCTGCTCTGACCCTTAAAGTTAATGATTATAGAAACAACAGGCAATGACTTGCTTACTCAGAGAAACTGCTGATGTTTTGTTCCTTTCCTCAGCTTATCCTCTGGAATAATGAGGAAATAGCCTTCAATAAAAGCTGAGTGGAACAAATGGTCAGAATCATTTTGCTGAACCCCATACGCTAGCGATGGCCCCCTGTGTTTCCCATCTTTGAAAACTCTATTCTGCATGTCCTGTCTTTTTATCTCTTGCTGCTTCTAACTTTACTTTTCTTTAGTCAATCACAGCCAGCTCCACAGGTCTTAAAGGACCCGGCCTTGGGACCTGAGCATTGGCCCTAATAAGTGTTAGAGCTTAGCATCTTGCCCTTCCTGACCAGTGATTTCAACAGTATGTCTGAAAAGGAGACAGATTTCATCTCTGCCTAACTGTCTCTCTTTTCTGAGCAGAGGATCTGAACCTGCCAGATCAGTGAGCCTGAACAGCATCCCTACCTAACCTCAGAACCAAACCTGTAACCTCACCCAACTTGGGGATATATGCTATTTTCCTTATGAAACTACAAGACCAATAACTACTCCAAATAAACTCAGAACAAAACTAGCAACTTTGCCACTGGTATACTGACCAGTAACCCAACTCTACACTGGGGTGTAGCCTGAAGACCTGCTAAAAGTTTAAATGAGACCCGCAAATCCAGTCTGCAGTATACCTACTACTAAAATGTCTGTATGATCCAAAGGGATCAGTAATTTCAATAGATCACTATGATTTCAATACAATCACTATCAAGATTCTAACAGCATTCATCACAGAAATAAAGAAAAAAATCCCTCACAAAAGACTTTAAATAGATAAAGCAATCTTGAG